AAAAAAAAAAACTATACCAAACAGCTCCTAAAGCTTACTAGAGAAGTTGTAACCAACGGGATCGCACATTCGCACACTGATATGACGTCATGATTGCGTGTGTACATTTAGTATGAAGTAATGAGCAAGCCCGCCCAATAGCGGACCCAGTGCTCCAATAGAGTTTAGGCGAAGCTTAAGACACTGATAAGATTACACATTTTTAATTTTAAGTTCACTGCATAGCGTGATTTGATCGATAGTAGTGCTATAAATAGGATGTCCGACGCCAGCGACTTCACTCCAGACGCGTGGCATGACGTGCACCACAACTTTACCTCACTACCGCAAGTGCCGCTTGCCTAATAAATAAATAAATAAACAAACAAAATCAACTCCTGGCCGCCTCACCTTGCTCCGCACGTGCCGCCTGTCCAACGAGCTCCTCTCTCATGCTTCCCTGCTACTCCGCTCTCTCTCTCTCTCTCTCTCTCTCTCTCTCTCGCTTGCCCACCTTGGTGCGCGCACTTTTCCAACCCGGCGTCCTCCGCCCCCACCCTGACGGCTCCTCCTCCCCCCGGCGGCGCCCCTTCCCCCACCCCAGCGTCCTCACCTACCGGGAGCCCCCAATGCCGTAGATCTGGTGGCTCTCTCCCCCACCCCGGTGAGATGCATGGAGCACGGCGAGATTCATGGAGGTGGCGCAGCGGTGCTGCAAGCGAGTGGGCAGCTCTCCCCCACCCCGGCGCGGCGCCCTACCCACCCTCGGCGCCACCCTCTCTCACCCCGACGACTGAGCTCCCCCAACTAGGTGGCCATGGCGCTCCTCGCCCACCATCCCCCACCGTCACCGCCAAGCCAAGCCTGGTACTAGTGGCGGTGGTGCTCGTGCGCAGCCGCTCGCCACCGTCTCCGACCCCAACGACCGGAATCGACCGGCCTAGCCTTCCCTTCCCCTACGTTGCATGTGTATGTTTGTTTCAAGTGCTTCAGGCATTTCAGATGTATGTTGCAATTATTTCATACGGATGTTGCAAAAGTAGATCGGGGTTGTTACACATGTCGCATATGTTGCAAGCGTTCGTTCAAAATGTTTCATCTGTTTCCAGACGTATGTTGCAATCATTTTGATCTCGATGTTGCATATGTTTTCACACATATGTTGCAAAGGTATGTTCTAAAATGTTTCATCTGTTTTAGTCTTCTATTGCATCAAGTGTTTTCATGTTGCAAGTTGCAGGTGTTCTATCTGGATGTCGCATATGTTTTCACACATATGTTGCAAGTGTATATTCCAGATGTTTTATCTGTTTTCAGACGTATATTGCATTCAAGTGTTTCATGTAGCACGTGTTTCATGCTGTTCAGAGAGTCAAGGGCACCGGGAAATGGGGCGAGGCAAGGCAGTGGCCGGCAGACGTGGCGCGCAGCGCGCTTGGGGCCGGCGGTCGAGGGCACGACGGGGCGGGGGTGCGCCTGCGCGGGCGGGGTGAACAGATGGGGATGGGGTTCGTGGATGGGGGCGGGTCAAGCATCGAGGCTGGCGTGTCAGGCGTGCAGGCAGACGTACAGATAAGCATGGTAAGGTGCGTGGATTTTTTTTATTCACATATTAACGTTTCAGCGGGAATTTGCACCGTCCGACGCTAAACGCCCGGATCGAACATCCGGGCGCTAGCAACTCCGTTTGATCAATAGTTCAGAGTTCGCCGGTGCTGGAGCCTAGGTGACCGCCCATGTTGTTGCCTCGCTGGGTCCTGGGTCCGCCACTGGATACGTCCTACTAGAGACGACTACAGCTACATATATACAGAGCCGTAGCGCGATCGGCACCCATACCAGTTTCGTCTCATTGAGTGTATCCGTGTAACATATTACATATATATTCTTGCACGAGGGACGTTTCTCATGAGTCATGACACATACTATACGCTCTCTCTCACACACACACACACTCTCGCTTGCATGTGTGACACGCAATCTAGGTTCTTCTCTTTCTAGGATCCATGGACATCTTTTCTTGTGTCTTCACCATCACACCAACTCAAGAGTAGTTTTTGAGATCAGTAAAGAAGAAAGCTCAAAGGTCCATTGATGTATCCATGCTTCTACTGCTATATAATTCCTCTAGTGTGCTTAATTTAGGCTTGGCACAATCCTTCTTTACTGAAAGTGTTTGGGATGCCCTAACCTTGCATTGTTCAGATCTTGACCAACCAACCAACCAATCGCTCCTTCAAAGATCCAAAGATACCGTGTCGGTAGTTTTCATTTCTTTTCCTTTTCACCAAGGCAGGCATGCACTGTTGTCAATTCCAGATGCAAATTGACTGCCCCAGGTAGCTCAATCCTTACTGCTACTATCATGTACTAGTTCACTACTCGTTCAATCCTTCCTTCTCCAAAAATCAAGTTTACTGACAAATTAAATTCGAAAATTGTTCATTGGAAACCTGCTTACTATGAAACTTTTGAATCCTCGATTAGTGTTGTTGGGGTGCACTATGTATGCAGCTAATAATTGTCTTGTTTCTCTTGCCTTTTTGTGGCCTAGATATGCAATGATAGGAGGAGCACGGCTGAGAGGCCGGATCAGATCACATTCACATCAGTCGTCAGCCCGACCCCGACCGGACAAAAGCTTGCGAAAAGGGGCGCCAAGTATCGAGCCAACAACAGCAAAGGGCTCCAGCCTCCAGCTGTGGATCACTGTGCGCGGGGACGACGACGTGATTGCCTGTTGAAGCCTTGAAGGGTGCCGGCTCCTTTGGCGTGCGGGTCCAAAGGATGATGATACTGGGGTAGCAAAGTACTCCGTTATATCGGGTGATGGTCTCAGCAGTCATAATTGGTTAGAATTCATCTTGTACAGTGTCAAGTGAAATTGTTTAGTACTCTCTCAGTTGTAAATTGTAAGTCGTATTTTTAGGTACATAGCTTGTTACACATCTAGATAGATATATACATTATATATAGATACGCAATAAAAACTATATCTCTAAAAATCAGAATGATTTACAATTTGGAACAAGATAATAATAAGGTGAGAAGAATAAGAGAGAGATATCATTGTTTTTTATTTGTAAACCAACCACCTCATAATTAGTAAAAAATTAAAACTATGAGATAAATTTGTTCACTATTCTACGAGATGTTGCCATATAACTAATAAACTTTTCTTTGTTCATTGCATAAAACAATGATCATGGAATTACTATGAGACAAGTTAAAAGACAACCCATTGTCTAAATAATATACTTGCTCTGTTTCTTCCATAGGGTTCCACAACCTCAAAATTACATGGCACTATGTGAGCTGTTTATACCAATATACTTGTCTTGTTTCTTCCATGGGTTTAATTCCCCAAGATGATTTGTTCCAGGAATCGGACAGATTAATGGTGCGTTTGCATTTCTAGGATTGGGCCTAGGAACAATTCCAGCTTATCAAGATTATACAAATTAGTGAACCATTCTAATTGGGAATTATTCCAGGGCCTCGTTCCTAAGCAACCGAACGAGCCATAAGATAATCCCCTTTACTCACTTGAAACCGAAGGGGGTGTAAACTCTGTTTGGGAAAAATTGTTCGACTAAGCGCACTCTGGTTACAACCAGAAACTACCACGAAGATAAAAACAAAACTGCTCTACTAAGATAAAGAATAGATTTGATAGAAGAAAGAAGTAGCACACAAATGGTTTGCGCTTATTAGCGTCTAAGATTAAATTAAAGAAAAATTAACGAGCTTGGATGCCATAACAATTTGCCATTGAACACCTCTTATGCAGGAGTATAAAGTTTACGGACAAACAAAACAACCATCTAATGCTCAGGTTCATGTACTATTTTGTAATGCTAACAGATACAAGCAGTGCTATAAACCAATTTTCAATCAGATCCCTCCTCTCACAAAAAAATGTATCAATAATACAATTCTCTTAACTAAACTATAGTGCGCCTACAAAAATTATTTTCAAAAACAACATGAAGTTTCCAATGAGCAGCTCGATTTACTACCGGAGTTTGCTTCAACCAATATAATTTACTCTCTATCACATGTTTTAGGGCTTGCTTGGGACAAGGGAAGGGATAACAGAGGGATGGGAAAAATACACAAAAAAGGTAGGAGCGATATGATGAAGACCTAAAAGGTGGTATTTGGTTAGTATGGGAGAGTATTTTTCACATTTGCAATTAGAGGGTGCAGAGTTCTAGAGTATAGTACAAGATAATGCATCTTCAAGATCTACCTCTGAACGGATATGATACAAGCCTGCCAGCAACAAATTTATGCTGCATAAAAGTGAAGGAAATGATGAACTAATTGTAGACACAAAACTTCTTATCTCTGTTAGTAATTTTTCTGTGTTTTCTTTCTTGAAAAATAATAGAAACATTTTTAGTTATAAAGCAAACTAGAATGTACAACTTTAACCATGAGATTTGTTTTCCTCTTTTTTTTTTAATCTTGTTTTACTATACCAAAATGGATTCATCTCTAGACTAGATCACTGTTATGGTGACTGTCATGATCACTGTCATAGTGTCATCTCTAGATCACTTCATTGAGCTTACCAGAGTTCCCACCCTGCATATCTGTTACCTGGTAAATCACTGTCATGGTGATGAATAGCAATTTTCAGTCCCCTCTCAGAACTCGGATGAAACAATTTCCACATAAACTTATTCAGATTCTCATACAGTACATACAATTAATTGGTCACAAACCAATTCATGAACACAAAAATGGTCTCCCTCCTACTCTGTAACTATAGCACAGAGCAACATCGGCATTGGAAGATTGAAAAAGCAGAGCAAGGAAGAGCCTAACACAAAAGAATATACAGAGAAAACAGAAAACTATGCACACTTCATCTATCCTCGCAGGCCACAATGATGTCCCGTTTCATCAACAATCTAACCCTTTTGTTAGGATCTATATATATATACACAAGTATAAGAAGATGAACTGTTTTTACCTCTATACAACTTGACATGGCCACAGTGATATTATATCTATCAGACTTGGCAAACCATTCCTACCTCAAGGGTGGAAACATGTGGCACGTTAGCCGCGTAGGCAGGGCCTCGGCTATTCCTCATCAGGAACTCATAGATGAAGTTTATGGCAATCCGCTTCATCAGGCTAGACCCACTTTTCGCCTTCATATACGAGCGCCCCATGATGAAGGACATGCCTGCCTCTCTTGCCTCAGTCAGCTCTTGCAGCTCGTTGCACACTTCGCTGTTGATCTGCGCATTTTCTGGGAGCACAAACCTCACCCTCCTCGACTTGGAAGATACTAAATTTGGGTTTGTATCCTTCCGAACAGATGATTCAGGTGATCCCTCAACCTCACCATCGGCCTCTTGAAATGGCAGGCCTTTGCTGATAATAGACAACCTCTCATAGGGACTCTCTGAACCATCCGGATAACCATTTTTGTCAGAGTCCCCAGAGCGGATGAACTCTGCAATGCTGCTCACTAGGGCCTTCTCAAACTCCAGGCTGTCCTGCTGAACATCCCGGTACCCGTATCGGACAACTACCCTGTATAGTCTGTATTGTTTCAGGCCAATGCGTCCGACCAAAAATCGCTCTTCAGGTTGGACATGTGGTACAGAAACGGATTTAATGCATAGGAAGACCAGAACCTGACGAAAAACACATTCATGCACTGGTCAGTTAAACAATTCCTTCACTAGTGTGTTCAGATGTGAGCATAAAAGAACATTAGTATTTACATCAATGACCGTCAAAAGAACACAAAAGGCATGACAAGATACCTGATGAAATGCAGGGAGGTTGGTGACGAAGTGGGAGAAAATGGCAGGAATCCCAGACACAAGCTCTGTGTGTATGAGACCAATGCCTCTGACCCGAACAATACCCAATGAAGGGCCTAAATTCAAAAGCCAGCTTATTGAGACCTTGTTATCCACATCGAACTCATACTTCTTTGTTGTGCCATAGTGCCAAACGCACATCACAGTCAAGAAAGTGAAGGAAAGAATTATAGGTACCCAAGCTCCTTCATGGAACTTCACGAGGGAAGCTGAGAAGTAGACAGCTTCGATTGCACCAAAGAAAAGAAGGAAGGCAAGAGCAAATACAACATTCTTGTTCCAGCAAAGGACAATGACGAGTGACATAAAGCAAGTTGTGACAATCATAACTGTTATAACCGCCAACCCTGAAACCAAAAAATAGTGGGGTTAACCTTCAATCCATATGAAGTTGAAGTTACATAACTAACTGAAAATGTTCATATCTCATGACTTTGTTATTTTCAGAAAGCAAAAAAAAAAAAATTGCTAGCGAATTTGTGTGCTCTTACCTTGTGCATTTGCCATCTGTTTCGTGTTTCTGAAGCCTATAGTAACAGCCAAGCACAGTATCATTAAGATCCAATTGATCTCTGGTATGTATATTTGGCCATGTACCGTGGAGGATGTATGCACAATCTTCACCCTTGGAAAGCAATTTAAGGAACAACACTGTTTGATAACTGAGAATGTGCCAGTGATAACTGCTTGGCTCCCAACTACAGCTGCAAGGATTGCAATCCCCAGAACAGGCCATCTGATTTTTTCTATAAAAAGATTATCACGTCAGTAAGCACCAAAGACATTTAGTTACTGAATATTTGTCTACGAGCATAAAAAGGCAAAGAGTGTACCAGGTACTGATATGTAAAATCCAATATGGTGGTTCCTCTCAAAATTGTGATGCTGTGAAATGTAAGCAGCTTGTCCCATATAGGCAAGCACGAGTGATGGATAAACCACCATTGTAAAAGCGATCTGTTGGAAGCAAAAAGGAGTGGTACAGAATTTTAGACTTACACAAGCTTCCCCTAGGATGATCAGAATGGGTAGATGACATGTGTCACATCTTGAGAGTATAATATTGGAACGAATAATATATTATGATGTGATTTCTGGAGCACTCTCAATTGGAAGATAATCGAACATGGTTGAATCAAACTTTCAGTGCAAGTGCATCCAAGTAATCACATTTCTTTTTAGTGCAAGTGTGCAACACAGTAATCAGTCGAATAAACTTCATGGGCATTCCATCTAATCTGTCCATCGGTTAGATTACTGTTCCTTTTATAACATAGGAAAGAAACTGTAGCCATCATGTACGATTTGTACCTCCCACTCTCCATCCTTAGTGCCAGTTTTCATATAAATGTATTTAAGCAATTCTTAATGAGAAGATGAGCAGATAATAGTTTCATTAGTTATATTAATAAACTAAAGCATGTGTACTTAAACCAATAGTGAAGTTTCAGATCCAACCTTCCCATCTAGATTTTGAGTATTCCAGATATGTTAACCGCTCTGTATCTGTTAACCACTTACAAAATAATTAATGTTCAACTTCAACTGATGTAACAAAATGCAATTTGCTTGGGCACTGTTTCTGATTTCATTTCTTATCTGCATGCCATCCTTTGCTCTATAACCTGCTATACTGCAGTCTATGTTTGTAAGCCATTTTTATGTGCTTGTACCTCAGAATTACAATGGAATGTTCTACATGCTGCCCTTCAGAGACAGGTTCAGAAGCTCTAGACTCTCTGCTTCCTTCTGAATAGGCCATATGGTTTCAGTAGTTTATATTGTTGATATTGTACATGATTATTTTTTTGCACATGAACTCATTCCATTGCATACCTTGATTGAAGACTGCGAGAAATGTCCAAGGTCCGCATACATAGCTTCAGAACCTAAGAGTTTGAACAGTTTTCAAGGGTCAATTCATCGTCATCATTTAAGCAAAGTGGCAGAGCTAAACTGTGGCATGCAATGCAATCGCCTATCTTCTTTGCTTACCAGTTACACATAAAAGGATCCCACCCAGTGACATCCAGCCTCCAACCTGTGTCTTCTGGATAAAACTGTACATGTAGTATGGCGAAAGGGCTTTATAGATATGGGGATTCCAAACGATGATGTTGTACACCCCTATGGTGCTGATGCAGAGAAGCCACAGGCAAACAATAGGCGCGAAGAGAAATCCGACCCTGTGTGTGCCGAAGTGTTGCAAGGCGAACAAGCCTACCAGGATCACACATGTTACTGGAAGCAGAACATCTGCAAATCAACATGACACAACAGAAGAATCCAGTTTTCATAGACACAACAGAGAATGGTCTCTATCCATGCAGCAATCAGAGCAGAACCAGCAGGTACCACATCGTCATCAAGCAACAGTAAACGAAACGTGAGCAAGAAATGAATCGACCTACATTGGTGCTGTTCATTGACCATTGACAGCTTGAGCCCCGAAACCGCTGAGAATACTGAAAAGAGAAACAGAAGCACAGGTCAGATTCTTGTCACCAACACCAACCAATGGACATTAACAACGACGGTTGAGGCAAGGAGGGGAGGTGCGACCGGAGACAGCAGGGGTGAGGACGCCGTCGCCGATGACCATGGACGTCCCGAGCAGAGCGAACAGCAGCAGCAGCCACTGCAGCTCCCTGCGCTGCTGCAGCGCCGCGCGCACGGTCGACGCCGGCGGCGGCAGCAGCGCGCCGTCGCGCTGCTCCTTGAGGTCGTCGTCGGCAGCGCTACTGTCGCCGACGCCAGGGAGGAGGCCCGCACGGACCCGGCGGCATATGAGGGAGTAGAGCGCGAAGGTGCCGCCCTCGCCGTCGTCGTCGGCGCGCAGGACGACGAGCACGTACTTGAGGAGCGTGATGAGGGTGAGCGTCCAGAACACGAGCGAGAGCACCCCGTAGATCTCTTCGTTGCCCTCGGAGTGGTCGATGTCGCCGCCGGCGAAGGCGCTCTTGTACACGTAGAGCGGCGACGTCGCCACCTCGCCGTACACCACGCCGAGGCTCTGGTAGGCCAGCACCAGCTCCGACCGCCACGACTGCAACCCCACCAAGAAACAAGAAAAAAAAAACTTCCATCACCACCAAGCCTCTCGAACCACCAAACAAACCAAAAAAAAGAAGAAAAAGAAATCCAATCTTTCAGACGGAATCCGACCGAGAGAAAGGCGACCGACCGGGCTCACTCACCTTCTTGCGCGCACTCGCTGCGCCGCGGCCGCTCTCTGCATCCATTCGCGCCTCCTGACGCAGCAGCTCAAGGTGCCGCCTTTCCTGCGCCCATGCACGCAGCGTTGCCTAATTGAGAGCGGAGAAGCAGCCTGTTCGTTTCGACTTATTTGCTCGCTTATAATCTATGTCTTCAATAGTATTTTTCTCTCACACTAAACCAGCCAGCTATATTTTCAGCCATGAATTATAATGCAATTCAGCCGAAACGGACAGGCTAAGAATTTGGGCGAAGATTTCTCTCGGCTCGGGACTTGACTTGTGAGAAGGACAAGCAGGACAATCAGCAAGCGGCACTTCCGTTCCTTCCTATAGCAACAACCACAGCCGCAGCCGCTGCAATAAGCGCAGCCGAGCAGGCCTCGCAGCTTTTCACTTGGCGTTGCCCCCCACTGATGAGCAGGAAGAAATCGAAATCCAAGTTCGAGAAGCGGGCCAGGACAAGGAGAAGCACAAGCAAGAACAGGGGGATGGAAAAGGCGAAAACTGGCTTCTACTGCAACCCTGTTCCTCCCCACCTTTTGTGTAGCAATCTTTTACAATTGCGAGACCTGCGCGGGTACTTATAGCTGCAGTTGCGAGGGTCAGCAGGTGGAGACAAGGATGTTCTTGGAAAAGTTTGGTTGTGGGGGGAGTGATGAGTGGGTGAGGTATCAGCAGGTAGGAGTATTTTCAGGTATTCCTATGACCGTATCACAGGCGAAATTGATATGCGGTTGCTCCTTTTAGACCTGTGCCGCTGTGGGTGGGATCTCCAGCTGTGACTATCACCGCCAAAGATAAGCTCCTTTTCCCACACAATTCCATTTCGCCCTCGTTTCATTCTGAAACTTGGTTTTCCAATTGGAAAGGCGACGAGACACCGTTATCAGAAACTAATGTCGTCGCGGTAATTCACAAGCAGTTTTCGACCCTGCGCCTGCACCAGAAGTCCAAGAAGATAGGAAGAACCGAGCCGGGATCGGGAATGGGTCGACACCTGTGGTCTGATGTCTGAATATCTGATCTGAGGCCTGACATCCATTGTGGGGATCATCTTTTATCAGGAGACATGGCCTGGTGGTTTCTGATCGAGATTCCTAATTGGCCTGTTCGTTTGACTGAATTTGACTAAAAAATATTGTTCCGACTGAATTGTTGTGAGAGAAAAATGCTGTTCCGGCCAAAAAAAGAAGCCGAACAAACCGACTTTTAAGGTCAGCCGAACGACACCAATAGGGCGAAGAGCTCTTCGCATGATCTGGTCCTACCTTTTTTTTTCTGCACTATTTTTTTCCCAGTGAAGAGAAGGAAGATGAGAGATACGTTCCTTAGAAGTCGTTTTTCAACTTTGTTTGAGGAAAGCCTTTCACCGAGCGAGTAGCTAAGCCTATGCCCTCAGACATTGATTGCTATACAGAATCTAGCATAAAAGTACTTGAATATTGATTATTATTATGAGGCTGAGAGAGCAAGTAACTTAATGAAGCAAGACTTCGAAGAAAAGGAGAGAATAAGTGTTTCAAGTAGTGTTGGAGGAGCTCACCGCCTCGCTCGTCGCGAGCCGGCCAGCGGGACCAACAACACCTTGGTGCTCCACTACTTCGGCGGGCGCCTCCCTAACGAGCTGGAGATGCCGCAAGTCACGCCACCACGAGTGGGACAGCACGGCGTTGCGGATCAGGCGGCCGCTTCTACGCCAACTCGAGTTGGCCATCCGGGCGTCGACAACGCGGCGACGCCCGTATCGATGGGCGAGTCCCTGTTGGCACAATTGGAGGCACGGCTATGCATCCCAATTGAGACCCCGTTGCTCAGCAAGCCGAGGCTGAGAAGGTCCAGGACACCTTCAATGGTGATGTCGATGCGTCGGAGTGGGAGACTGGCTGCTAAAACCAAAGCCTCCAACCCGACTCTCCAAGCACAAAATGTGCTCAAGCAAAAGCTGAGGATCATAGATACGCCGCAGGGTTCGAACACTGTGGCTTTGGACAGTATCAAGGCCTTCTTCGCTGCGCCGTTGTTGCCCTCCAAACAAGAGGCCCTTCAGGCGCTCTTCGCTCCAGACTTCGATCCGGTTGCCATGGAACTGAACCTCACTGGCTCGACGCTCTGTAGCCGCTGAGCTCAGGGCCTGCTGGGTTTGATCCCTATGCTTGATCCTTCTCTTGGTCGCTAAGTATTTTCTTTTGTAAATCACAACTATGTGATCTCTGTCAGTGTTTGGCTCGGTAATCATAAATTACCGTCCCAGTTTTAATTTATAAAATTCTACTTTTGCTTAATAAATACCATGCCAATGGCACGTTCAGGAAAAAAAGTGTTTCAAGTAGTAGTTTTGATAAAGTATCAAGTAGGGAAGTTCTTCCTAGCTTCCGGCCGTAGCTCTCCAAAGGTTGCCTGTTACACTGGCACAGAACAGCTGGTGAGAACCCGTCGATCGTCGATCCAGCGGCCAGCATGAGAAGAAAATCAGGAAAAAAAAAATAGCATGTGCACCGCCGTTGCGTGGAGCGGCGGAGGGCAAGACGGCGACGGGACCTTGAAAAAATACGCCTAGACGACAGGGTCCAGGCCGGGAGCCGGCGGCGTCTGCTGCTGCCGGAGCCCGGAGCCGTACGCGCGGCCGGTGGCTGGCGAAAGCGACGCCTCCCGCGGCGCGGTCACGATGCCGTGGTGGGGCGCCGCCGCGCGTCAGCGGTATCGGCTTTGGGATTTTGTTAGGTTAGGTATGTGTCCGGCTGTCTGCTGCTGCGATGCGACCTGCATTTGCATCCGATGCGGTTCCGTCTTCCGCTCCGGGGGCTAATAAAACTAAAAAAAAAAAAAGAAATGCGGACGGGAGGCGTGGATGGCCGGGGAGGATCGCTCCTTTCCTTTTCAGGATTTTCTCCTCGCGTGTACCGTCGCTGCCAGTGAAGTGCCGATCTGTGGGAGTCGGTGAGCAAATAAAGTAAACGGTGAGTTTGTTGCGTGCTACGACCGGAAAATGGCGGGCTTACCCCATATATGACTTATTTGGCTTAATTTTTTAGTTAGAATTATGTTTTTCTCTCACAACATTTCAACCAGAACAGTATTTTTCAGCCAAGTTTTAGCAAACCGAACATGGCCAATCTGTTATCGTATTCATCATACGTACGGAGTACTACATAAAGCAACCTACTGTACCTACGTAGTATGTCGTATTGAACCCATTTAATTAATTACTTTTAAAGTTGAGACTCATATAAAATAAATATAATATAATGAAAAATATAAGATACTTATTTCAATACAAAAGGAGATAAGATCCAATAGAATATTCTACAAATTAAGGAGATACTTAATGTATAGAATCGTATATATATCTTTTATAAGCCAAAAGAGCATCTTCAGTAGATTATCTAAACAGACTACCTATTCCCAAATTAATCCCTAATTTTGATAGTAGGGGTGAAAAAACAAATCCAGAAGACTACCTACTAGACCCAACAAATTTCTTGGCTACTTAAATCCGCCCTCCCACTGCCCATTCCTGTTGGGCCACTAGAGACTACCAATTTTCTCGTTCGCTTGTTTCTTCCCCACGCGAGTCTTCTCTCCTCTCGAGCCCGACGCAGGCAGCCTGACTGTAACACCCTCGGTGTTACGCCCTAAACAAATTACCAAACCATGTCATGAGCATCATATTTATGTGATAATGCATGTGATGGAATGTGTAGATAACATTTTTGTAACTTGAGATGATCAATAAAAATGTTAAATGATGAGCTATTCCATAACTCATATGTATCAAATAGGGTTTAAAACTAATTTTTATTAAATAAAAATGCTATAGAACATATATGTGGCGCTTAAATAAAGTTCGGAATATGAACTTTGTAGATGACAATAAAATACTTACCGTGGAAAAATAATATTGCTAGCCAACATTTCTAATAGCCTGGAAATGCAACTTGGAATCAAGTTCAGCTCAGATTTAGAATATTTTCAAGTTTATAAACAGCAAGACAATGCAATGTTTGGCGATTTATTTTGTGAAATCGAGTTAAGAAGTGGTGTCATGTTTTAGCTCGAGTTGGTAGCCTGATAATCCTTCTTTGAGCATGATGAAGATGGTTTAGGTCCAGAAGCAACCGTTTAGTTGTTATAGGCGCTTTAAATTTGGTGCACAGCATGTTCTCGGGTTAGTTCGCCGAGTGGACGGGTCACCAAGCTTGGGCGCTCGGCGTCACCGCGCTGGTCGCACGTGGTCGGCCGTGGCTGCCTCTGGCCTGGCTATCGCCCGGCCGCCATTGTCCCTGCCGCGCAGAGCCGCTGCTGCTGCCGCCTGCCCCGTCCCGCGCCACGACGAAGCCACTGCCGGCGCCATCACCTCGTCGTCGCGTCCGTGCACTGCTGCCCCGCCTCGCGTTGCCGCTACCGACACCACCGCGATGTCGTGCTGCGCTGCTGCCGCTCGCTCTGCCACCGCGTGCATGTGGGCTGTCTCGGCTGTGCTCGCGCCGTCGCCTCGCCTTAATGGCGCTGTGGCCACGCAGGCCGCACCCCCACTTGCCTCCCCGCACGCACGTGGTATGGTCGCGTGTCGCGTAGCGAGTGCGCAGACATGGTCGCGAGTCCGGCCAACCGCTGGTAGCCAAGGTGAGGACGGCCAAAGCTCAGCCCCGTCTCCCTCTTTCCCTCTGCTGCCGTCATCGGAGTCGCGCCAGCACGTTAGACAGCGAGAGGTCATCTCTAGTCAATTCCGCCCGTCTATGGCCCCGCCAGTGAGTTCTCCAGCTGCCCAACCCCACCCAGCCATGAAGCACGCACTGCCAAGCTCTAATTTAGAGCTTTTCCCGCCACCGTGCCGATAAGGCCGTGATTGGCCGTGGTCGAGGGCAGCCCTCCTACCGCCACCCCGAGCCAATTCATCTGCACTACTTGCTTCGTCTTGCCTCCCTCTCCACCTTGCACACGCTAGAGGAACCGCTATCGCTTCCCTGTCACCGCTGATGCGACCGTGTCACCGCGGTGCGCCGCCGCACGACTCGGCCACATGT